GTGTAGCTTTGCGCGAAATTCCAAAACAAACAAACAAACTAATAATCCCACCTCATAAATTGTAAATCACTTGGAAAACAAGTAGCTTATGTTACCATGTTCAATGGCATATTGCACTAGCTGCTTATGAGCATAACCCAGGAAGAATTTTTATTATTATTTTTTTTCATTATTTTATCTAATTAACCTTATCTAACCTAATAAGACTCTAATACTTACATTTTTGGTTTAGAACAATCAATAAAAAAAATACATGTAAAACAAGAAATATAGTACTTACGTTGACCTCTTGTTTTTTTGCTGCTGGTTGCAAATAAAATTTAAGCCTACTTTGTTGTAATGATGGTACTAATACATTTGATAATCTTTATTTACTTAATGCATCTAAGAACACAGAATAATACCAAACACAAAACCAACAATGTTCTTAACTATTATAATTTAACTGGCTTTCTAACTAAGACAGAGGTTTGAAATAATTCTGTTATCTGCTTGATCTAATTAGCAGGAGATAAACTTTCAAACTTAAAATGAAGTTAACAGTACTGTATACTGAAAGCAATATGGCATTAGATTTCATTTGATAGATTAAACCGTTCCTTTCTGTTGGTTATAAGTGATATATAACATCAGAGAGATATGTTGGCAAACTGTGAAAGAGAGGATGTGATAGCTGGATGTGGCAAATAGGTCTGATTTTCTAGTCTATTACTTCATAAATAAAGAAGATTGAAGGCTCTCAATGTCAAAATTTTTCTTAGTAATATTAATATTATAATAAGTAATTTATGTTAAATTCTGTATTTCAGAGAGAACAGGTAAGATGTAGAGAACATATGTTAAGATTCTTAAACTTAGGGAGATTGAGGACTTATTTAAATTTTTCCTTATAAAATTAAAAAATTGAAACATGTAATATTAAAATATGGTTTATCAACTGCAATTAGATGTCAAGTTTATTCATACATATCGATAATAAAGTAATTAAATTAAATTTTGAATGTAACTATGTAAATGGTTGTGACATGCACACTTTGATCTACCCACAGTGGGAGGGTTAAGAGATTAAACAGTAAAGTCCACAACAAATTGCTCAATATCTGATCATGTTTAACCCTATCAGTACTGCAAAGGTATTGTCACATTACCCCTGTTGTTTGTTGTCACACTCAAAATATTTAACCTAATTTCATGAAGTTTTGATATGCACTTTGTACATATGTTGTTTATGCTTGAAAAAATTATGCAGCTTGGTTTAATATTTTTCATATTTTAAGTTATGAATTTTCAGGAAAAACTAAAGAATACTTTCTTTTGTCATAGAGTTTCAATTTTTTGTATTGCATTCCTAAAATTATATATGTATCCAATAGAGTTAATTTTTGAATAAAACTATAATTACTGTGTCAATGTTATTATGTTTAACAATGGCATGTTCATTTTTTCATCTGTTCATATAAATTGTTTTTATGTACAGAGGAAATAACTATTGTAAAATATGGAAGAAATATATAAAATGTTTTTTTAAATATTATTAATAATTTTATACATACATTTAAATCTTACTTCTTTTATTTTCATCATGTATTTATATTTGTTATGTACCGTTGCCTGTTATGTAGCCACAAAAATAGCATAAAACACTGATGAACAGTACAAAGCATGGACTGGTATGAATGGAACTTACATTTATATCCCAGGACTGCATTGACATAAGTGATGTTTTTCCAAATGTATTTCAGGTCAAGTTTAATTTCTATCTAATAATTACAGTTTGTTTTCAGTAATTAAAGAGTTCTTATATGTGTTGAGTAATAATAAATTTATAATATACACAAATCAGCAAGCTTTTCTGTCATCTGAATAGTTTGATAACACTTTTTGTTAAGAGAGGAAATCTTGTGTATACTTTAAATAAAAGTCCAGAAATACAGTTTTTTGAGTGTATTATTTTATTTTTTGAACTTTATAATAATGTTTTGGCCTCTTATATGGTAATCATCAGGTAAAACTGTCTATTATTGTAGGAAATACTTGAAAGTTGAAAAAGTATTTTCTTCCAGTTTAGAGAACATGCAAGGTGACACTGTGTTTTGATTTAAATTAGAACTTAGTTCACTAATAATTGACATTTTTTATAGTTTTCTTCTACTTATGTTGTACTTATTTCATAATATTTTAAAGTTACTGATATTTATTGGATGTTGATGCATTGTTCCCTTTTCGTAAATGTGTAATGGGGATTGCTATATTCTTTGATCCAAATATTAATGTTGCTCCCTGTTTTGCCTATATTTGTAGGTTTTTCTATCACTGAAGTCATCAGGATAAACCTTCCTTTGATGATCTTTGACTTGAGTACTTGGTTTTTTAATAAAAATGAATTAATGTTTAGATTGTATATTGTTTTAATATACTTGTTTCCAAATTTGTGTATCATTTTTGGTTATGTAGCCATGGTATGGTGAGATAACTATTAGTGTGTTTGTGCATTTTGTTTGTTTTTTGGGGTTTATAATGTTTTTTTTTCTGTTATTGAATTTGTTTTTTATATTTGACTGATGTTCTAGTGATAATATGTT